CATCTACATGGTGTGCATATATACCTGTAGACAGGCACCAGACATGCATGTAGTGCACATGCATACATACAGACAAAACGCCAACAAACAAGGAGAAGAGGACAGGGGAATATGCTTTCAGATTGCTGACTTTGCATTTTTCCTCTTGTCCAGGCAGTACTTTCTATGGAGCCTGGAGAAGGGCAACTCCATTCCTGAACTCTTGGCTCAGAACTAGAGCCACCTACATCTTGCAAAGAAAAGTAAGAAGAAGGCACAAGGCTGCTGGGCGGTGGTGGAGTATACCTTTAATCCTAGCACATGGGAGACAGAGGCAGGTGGATCTCTATGAGTTCAAGGCCAGCCTGGTCCACAGAGCAAGTTTCAGGACAGCCAGAGCTATTACACAAAGAAATTTTGTCTCTATGGGACACCGAGAAAGGCATTCAGAAGTCTACTTTATCTAGTATTTAAACTCAATTCTCAAACCAGCTGAGGTGCAAGAACTTGAAAGGATTAAGGACTTCTTTCCAAACCAGGTCTACCCTCTGTGGCTGAGGGATCTTAGGCAAAACACTTCATGCTCTAAACCAGACATGGTGGCACAGGCCTGTCATCCCAGTACTCAGAAAGTAGACATGAATAATTCTTTAAATGCATTAAGAACTTTAGGGATGCCAGGTGGTGGTGGCGCATGCCTTTAATCCCAGCACTCGGGAGGCAGAGGCAGGCAGATCCCAGTGAGTTTGACTACAAAGCAAGTTGCAGGACAGCCAGGACTGTAACACAGAGAAATCCTGTCTCAAAAAAACAAACAAACAAACAAAACAAAAAATAAAAGGGAAGAAAAAGAAAGAAAGAAAAAGAATTTTAGGGAGCTGGAGAGATGGCTCTGCAGTTAAGAGCACTGGCTACCCTCCCAATAGGACCCGGGTTCAATTCCCAGCACTCACAAGGTAGCTAACACCTCCTAGGGATCCAGCACCTTTTTCTGGCCCCCATGGAAACTAGTCATATACACGGTATACAGGTAGACATTCAGGCAAAACATTGTACACATAAATACAAATAACTCTTTAAAAATAACAAAACAATTTAGGGGTTAGGAATGTAGCTCAGTTGGTAGACTGTTTGCCAATCAACCTGAGACCAAGCCCAGCACTGCATAAACTGGTTATGGTGGTTTATGCCTATAATCCCAGCACTAGGGGGTGGTAGAGGCAGGAGGATCAGAATTCAGAGTTCATTCTCAGCCACACAGCAAGTTAAAGGCCGGCCTAGGCTACGTGAGTCCGTGTCCCGGCAACAGCAGAATCAAATGGGGACCTTCTGAAGCATGCATTACTAAGTCTCACGTGTTAGGATGCATGCAGGCATCTGTACTGGCCTGCCCTTAAGATCTCTGAGTTTGAGGCCGGCCTGGTGTACAGAGTGAGTTCCAGGGCAACCAGGGCTGCACAGAGAAACCTTTTCTCTACCCTTCCCCGACGAAAGAAGGAAAGGAAGAAAGAAAGAAAGAAAGAAAGAAAGAAAGAAAGAAAGAAAGAAAGAAAGAAAGAAAGAAAGAAAGAAAGTAAGTCAGTCAGTCCAGCCTGGGTCCGACACAGAGCTGGCAAGGTCCATCAATGTGCTGTGTTATATAGCAGTGTTTCAGTGCGTCTATTTTTCTGCAAGTTACACTACAGATTCATTCATGTCTGTGGATCTGCGTGGTTGTTTTTTGTTTGTTTGCTTTTGGTTTTTCGAGACAGGGTTTCTCTATGTACTCTTGGCTGTTCTAGAACTCACTCTGTAGAACAGGTTGGCCTTGAACTCACAGAGATCCACCTGCCTCTGCCTCCAGAGTGCTGGGATTGAAGATGTGCACCACCGCCACACCTGGCCTGTGTTTTTTTTTTTTTTTTAACAAATGATTTATGTAGTATGTGCTGAATAACTTGGATCTCCTTTCATATATGATTTTTTTTTTTTTTTTGGTTTTTCGAGACAGGGTTTCTCTGTGGCTTTGGAGGCTGTCCTGTAACTGGCTCTTGTAGACCAGGCTGGTCTCGAACTCACAGAGATCCACCTGCCTCTGCCTCCCAAGTGCTGGGATTAAAGGCGTGCGCCACCACCGCCCGGCCATATGTGATTTTTTTTAATAACTTGGATCTTATGGATTTTTTTCTTTTTGTTTTTTTTTGAGACAGGGTTTCTCAGTAGCTAAGAAGCCAGTCCTGGAACTCACTCTGTAGACCAGGCTGGCCTCGAACTCACAGAGATTCGCTTGCCTCTGCCTATCGAGTTCTGGGATTATGCGCTACCACTGCCTGCCTGGTTTGGATCTCACATTCAATGAGTGATATACCCTTTTACCCAATCTATCTTTCCAAACGTCCATCTACCCATCCAGGCCATTCACTCATCCATCCACTTACCCATCTACCCACCCGCTCCTCTAACCTTCTACCCATGCATCATCCATCCATCCATCCATCCATCCATCCATCCACTCATCTGTCTATCCCTCTGCCTTTTCCCATACCCACACATCCATCAACCCTCCCACCCATCCAAGCAATATCCCAAGTGCCTCTGAGGGGCCAGACCTACTAACAGATGAAATCATCCTAGTATTTCATGCTTGCAAACCAGTGGGAACTGGGAAGAAGGCTCAGTAGGTAAAGCACAAGTGTGAAGACGTGAGTTCAGGTCCCCAGCAGCCTCAGAAAACAGCCAGACGTGGTAGTGTGTGTCTGTAATCCTGGTGCTGCTATAGCAGGAAGAGAAGAAGATATAAGAGTCCCTGGAAGCCACGGGCTGGGCTGCCAGAGCAAAATGAGATCATACTTTAGTGCTGCCCCCTAAAAGAGTTTTTTTTTTTCTAAATATAATTGTATGTTACAATGTATATTACAATTGTATATTTACAATGCCTTTTCAAACACCACTAACCATCCCTCTCCCACAGCAAGCACCGAAAGGGTTTGTGGCTTCATTGAAAATAGCACTAGAAGGCGGGTGGTGGTGGTATATGCCTTTAATTCTGGTACCTGGGAGGCAGAGGCAGACGGATCTCTGATTTCAAAGCCAGCTTGGTCTACAGAGTGAATTCCAGTATAATCAGTGCGAAAACTAAAGCCAATAATAATAATAAATAGAAAAGAAAAAGAAAGGATTAAAGACAGACAGATGGAAAGAAAAAGATAGAAAGAAAGAAGGGAAGGAGGAAAGAAGGGAGGGAGGGAGGGAGGGAGGGAGGGAGGAGGGGGGGGGGGAGGGGGGGAAGCGGGAGGGGAGGGGGGGGGGGGGGGGGGGGGGAGGGAA